TGCTGTGATTACGAATTACGCAAAATTTTCGCCGCCGACTACGTTATAGTTTCAGAGTTTACAACTTTATGCTTTGCGGCTGATGTACGATTACGAATTGCGTTGATTTTTGGGGAGGCTGCCTACGGTTTACGAAGGCTAAAAAATGCCTGATTTACGCCTTTACGAAAAAGGGGCCACGAAAAGGGGCACGCAGGCCCCCATGCCTTGGCTTTGGCTTATTTTTGACGCGTTTTGCGTTTATATCGGGCTTTCTTTATTGGTGTCATTTTATACGCCAACCAAATTTCAACCAAACGTCAGGTCAATTTGATACTGTCTTGCAGATTGTAATGTATTTACAATATACGATATAGCACAGCCACTTTGCCAATGCCAATTGCATGTCGCTCCAGCAGCAGTGATTTGTGCCATGGGACTCCACTGCAGCAGTGCAGTGTATTGCGTGGGTAATTAGGTAAAACGTGATTGACATTTATCACATGATTCAATAAAGGTGAATGCAGTAGCCAGTATTGATGTCTCAAATCTTCTCTGTATTGTAGAGACTTGTTTATTTGTACAAGACTGTTGAAGACATCAACATACAAAAAGCAAGGTAATAGCATTCACAACTATACTTAAACTTAATAAAAGTAGCAATTTTACAGGAGTAAAATTTGGAACCAAGCAAAGCTAGCAATTAAATTTCCTCTAAACCAGCACTCGTGACATAATTACATGTTAATGTCACAAATTAATTTTCTAAAGGTAAACTAAGATGATAATTTAATAGAAGTCAGCTAAGGAAATGCACAGTTAAACCTTGTTCATGCTAGTAGTTGCAACAGTTAGCGTTACAAAACCGTTACATAACTAAATATTGTACTAGTATGGGATTCGACTATGTGAATTGTGATGGCGTCAAGTATACATGGGTGCCATCTTGTTTCTTATGTGTAGATCAAGGGTATAGTTTATTCTTATTCAGGGCTTTAACTGCTAATTCCCCTGTTTTAGAACATACGATGATAGTATTTCATTCTTTTGATACTCGAATCATGGCTGTTAGTGTTACTGAGTATATCTGCATTGTATTGGAATCATCCAGGTGTATGTAGTGCTTGCGCTTCCTCAAGTGTCGTCCTAGGAACGAAAGTCGCAGACTGCGAGTTTCTTAACCCAAGAGCTAGGGCACGCAGACCATTGGCCTATTCGTGCAAATATCGTCAATCTTACACACGTACTTAACCGTATTCGTGCAAAGCTTTCCATATACCTACCTGGGGCCGCACACGCCTCTTTACCTACCAGCCGGGCCGTAACAATCGGCAAACATTTACTGATGTTGTGTTCCCTTGTAGATATAAATTTGTAAATATAGATCAGCTATAGATTAAAAAAGATGGCAAATTAATACAGTCCAACTTGATGTTTTTATATTTTCTCAGGTTTGTACATAATGTTCTTTTAATTTACAGAAAACACATGTTCACGAAAACACGGACATCAAACTTGGAGGAAGCACAAGCAAGAGTGGAGCAGCCGCGGGCGCAACATCATCAGCAACAACCTGTCTTCCTGACGGGAACAACAGCAGGTATGTTTACATTTTTTTCAAAATAGTTGCAAGTCATAGTACTTGCAACTACCTGGGGCCGTGCACGCCTCTTTACCTACCAGCCGGGCCGTAACAATCGGCAAACATTTACTGATGTTGTGTTCCCTTGTAGATATAAATTTGTAAATATAGATCAGGTATAGATTAAAAAAGATTGCAATTGCAAATTAATACAGTCCAACTTCATGTTTTTATAGTTTCTCAGGTTTGTACAGAATGTTCTTTTGATTTACAGAAAACACATGTTCACGAAAACACGGACATCAAACTTGGAGGAAGCACAAGCAAGAGTGGAGCAGCCGGGCGCAACATCATCAGCAACAACCTGTCTTCCTGACGGGAACAACAGCAGGTATGTTTACATTTTTTTCAAAATAGTTGCAAGTCATAGTACTACTAGTAGTCGGGTAGATACCAAGTGAAAAAGAGACCCCTTTCAGCCAGGAAAGTTTTTCCCACATGTTGAATTTTTTCCTGTCATCATGTAAAATCTGACTTAACTTAGTTGACAAGTGAGCAATACAGTTCTCAAACTCAGCTTTCATGAAGTTGTTAGTTGGGCTGATTTTCAGCTTTGCCTTCAGGTTGTCGATGCGATGAACAGTTGGCAACTGCCAACGCACTTCCCAGCTTCGTCTGCCATTTCTTAACAAAATACATAGACAAGAGTTACACATAATGATTGAAGAGATTCTGACCTGAACTCAAGCCAAGTCCCCAGTGTTGTAGACAAACTCCTCTTTGCACACTTTAAACAGGGCCCAAGCAACACTTGGACGGTACAATACTGTGTAATCACAGTTGAAATTTTCTGTTTTTATAGTTTTACTGGAAAAGGATAATTTTGAAAAAGACTAAATGTTGTAAAAGTAGTAATTTGAAAATTGATATGAACGCGCTGGCTGGGTACATTAGGGGCAGCCCCTATTCTCCTGTTTAGAAAAACCCCTCTGCTTGGCTATTCAGCTATGAGTAGAGGTTTAAGTCAATATTGAATTTGAAGTTCTTAAAGGTTCACGTCTACCTTCTGTCAATCTTATTCAGAATGATCAAGCAATAAATAATGTATGTACATCTATATACAATGTTGCTGAGAGGTGTTAAATTTACATGTGGAGATTGACACCAAAGTTTCGCAACAGGTGTTCGGAGTACCTGATCCTCTTTTCTTGAGCAGATGCATCTGCATCTTCCCTGACATCTTCAGTTGTTGGAAGTCTGCCCCTTTCAGCCAGGAAAGTTTTTTCCCACATGTTGAATTTTTTCCTGTCATCATGTAAAATCTGACTTAACTTAGTTGATACGTGAGCAATACAGTTCTCAAACTCAGCTTTGATGAAGTTAGTTGGGCTGATCTTCAGCTTTGCCTTCAAGCGGTCGATGCGATGAACAGTTTGGATCATCGTCCAGGACAACTGCCAACGCACTTCCCAGCTTCGTCTTCCATTTGGGTGCATCCCTGCAATGATTATAATTAAGTATTTAATAATATTGTTAACTTGAGTTCACGGTGAACCACCATAGCTTTGTCTCTTTTATTTGATAAAAGATTATCTGATGCTCACTTCCTAGCTACCAATCCTAAATACCAATCAAAGATTGCATTATAGAGATCCAACCACTTTTGTTACAGTGGGCTGAAAGGCATATTTTGTTTCAAGCATTGTGTTACCGCCAAGGAGGTTTAAATAAAGTGATCTCTTTTTGTACTGCAAGCAAAATTTTGGCAGCTACAGTCCCCTCTGTGTGCTTAGTCGGGTGTTGTGTGTGTGGGTACTGGCGGATGATGTGAATAGTTGAGAGATGTGTGGAGGTGACATTCCATTTAGTGCCTTAGAGATATAGATAGCCTTGGCTCGTTTGTGCTGCTGTCCTTTGAAGGGCAGGTAGTGCGATATCATTATTCATATACAGATATTTTTACGTCTCTTTTTCACTTGGTATCTACCTAGCCGACAACTACTACTACTATGACTTGCAACTAATATTTTTGAAAAAAATCTGAACATACCTGCTGTTGTTCTCGTCAGGGAGAGAAGGTGTTTCTGATGGTGTTGTCCCCTTCTTCACTCTGCCAGTGCAGCTGAGGGAAAAGTAAGTAGAACATTTCAGGAATGGTGACTTTATTTTGTCAGTGTCAGAAAACAGCTACTTTAGTCTCTTTTTCACTTGGTATCTACCCGGCCGACTACTACTACTACTATGACTTGCAACTAATATTTTTGAAAAAAATCTGAACATACCTGCTGTTGTTCTCGTCAGGGAGAGAAGGTGTTTCTGATGGTGTTGTGCCCTCCTTCACTCTGCCAGTGCAGCTGAGGGAAAAGTAAGTAGAACATTTCAGGAATGGTGACTTTATTTTGTCAGTGTCAGCTACTTTAGTTTTATCTCAAGGCAAGCTGTGTAGAACATGAAAAAAGTCTAAAATGCTGCAGTCAATAGATTTCTTAGGAACTTTTTTAATATCCTGAACTACATGCTAAAGAAAATGTCTCCCATCATGCACTGTGAAATGTCCCATATGTGTTAGTGTGGTGATATAGTTTGACATCAAATAAACCATTCTGCCTACTAAAAAGGATTGGAATTACCCATTTCTTTCAGTGAAGTGTCTAGTACGAAATTATAATCAAACATTCTGAATGAACACAGTGACTCTATAAAATAGAGTAAATACTCATCAGAAATTCATGCATTGCAAATAATTGCTATTTTTTAGTACATGTATTTACCTTCTTGCCATTCCCATTCTTTCAGGATCCTGGCTGGCAGCTTCTTGCATCTCCAGGTCCGGCTCTGGGTCTATCCTCTCTACTCTGATCACTTCTTCATCCTCTTCTGATTCGCTATCAGTGTCACTTTTCTCCCCCATTTCAATGTGATCCTCCGCCTCACACACATCTTCGATGAATGTCATCTCTTCATCTGGGCCAAAGTCGTGATCTGGGTCGAGGAAGGTTGTGGTGACTTTCTTGATTAGTGTCTGTCCCTCATACACCCACAGCTTACATGCTGGCATTCTGACTCGTCGTTCAAGGCACTCTTTCCATTTCTGCTGGAGGTACTTGTATTCATCTTTCAGTGATGTTGTCCGGAAGTGGTGGAGCTTTGGGCCATCACTGTGAGGCTTATCATTTGGGCCATCATGAAAGACCACATCATCTCCTTCAATGTGCCAGTATGCACCATACCCTGGAAGCAAGAAATCTGCGATTCTTTCACAGAAGGTCTGTGCATCTCTTGGGTACTTTTTTAGTACCTCCAACGGGATCGTTGTTCGCTCCATTGCGATTGCTTCTCCAGCTTTTGAGATTTTATTTTGCTGGTGTTTGTCGGTCGATGCCCTGTCTTGGTAGCTATAGTGCGTCCGCACTAAGATGTTGCTGATAACGTGCCCTGGTCTAGAGTAACTGGCGGACGACTTTGTGATGTGTTTCAGCAAGCTAAACTGGCGCTCTTCATTTTCAGCCATAATAGAACTGATGGGTACCACCCTGTAGTTGACTGGCATGTGGTCCCTTAGAGAATGCAGATATTGCCCCCACAGCTTTCGGCTAGACATTGAGGATGGTTCTCCAGGCAGGCACTCTTTGATCAGAAGATGGTGTAGAAAACTCACATTGTTCAGTCGGAAGACACTTATGATAGATCTATCCTCTGCAGCAGCGTAGCATAGCTTTTGCATGTCAGCAAGTGTGTTGATGAGTTTCACCAATTCACCACTTGTTTCCCTACACTGCTTTAGTTCTTGAAGCAGCACAAGTACAGCATACCTCATGTCAGCCGCTCTTACTGTATCTTGACTGTTGAGCACCAGATTGTTGACCCTTTTGACAATGCCAGCTACATGTGTGGGCACTCTATGTGGAATTTCTTCAAACAGGTTTTTTGCATGATTGCACAGGTCATGCATAGCTTCACTGCCTGGTTCCTCTAGGTGACTTAGATTAAGGTCCTCTACACTTGCATTTGGGCATCCATACAATAGTGTGGGAATCCTTTTCACGCCATGGAGAGTATGCTTCAGATGGACATTCAGATTTGTCTTGTTCATATCTTCTGCATCATGGTAGGTAATAGTCCCCCTGTAAGTCAGCTCATCTATCATCTCCTCCTTTGTCATCTTGAAGGGATGTGGCACTGTTAGTGAAGCTTTGTTTGATGTCACAGGGCTTTCCATTATGAAGTCTTGTCTGTCCTTGATGTTGCTCAGCCTATTTTCGACATGACAGGACTGCCAAAAGTCTGGTGTTGCTCGTTTGTCAATAGGACAAGTACAGGAATAGTGGCCTGATCGCTGTGCGCCGAATTCGAATTGTCTGGCTTGTTGGTCTCCTTTGAAGAACCGCAGTTCATCAATGTACTCACGTCCGTCTGTTGTCTTGACTGTACCGGACAGGGATGGTAAGTCATCACGTCTTGTCTCTGCGTACATCAGTTGCTCCGCATCAGAGGCTCCACATCGGGCGATCAAGTACAGCTCCGGCCTCTCCACTTCACTCTGTACATTCAACTTAACTTTGTACTTCTCGAAATACTCTGCATTTGTCAGGAATATAGCTGGATCATACAAAGTGGATATTAGGTAGAGTATGTAGCCATGATTGGCTAGGCACGCCCCATCCTCCCAGTACGCCAGGTGTCTCGTAGCCTCTACCCTCTTGAGGTGAGTCCGTAGATCATCTTCAGTTTCCCCCTCTGTTTCTTCATTCAGGTGTTCAAGGCGGTTCTTTATTTCGTCTAAGGTCATGGTGTCATAGTCCACTTTGTCTCTTAGGAAACGCTCTTGTTTCTTTAGCAGCTCTTTCCGTAGGTCTGATAGTGGCCGTTTACGTCCGCCAATCACAGTGACCTTCGTTTCGATTTTGTTCTCCGCTTTGTTCATGTTGTACGTCACGTATTCTTTTGGGACAATAGACTCTCCAATGGTAACTTCTCCCTCCTTTATAAGCACCCTCAGCTCCTTTCTTATCTGGTTCTCTGTACGAGATGTCGGCATAGTGATCTTAGGATCTGTTCCTATTCGTAGCCTTGCTCTGCGGATTCTGTCCCCCGTAGGCTTTCCCTTGAATCTCTCTGTGTCAACTCCCTGACTCTGGAGCCATAGCTTCACCAGCTGCCCAGCATTCCCAGGTAATTTTCCGTCTTTGCCTTTGATGTTGTATTTAATTGCAAGCTGTGTCCAGTTTACTTCAGTGTTTTCGTCCAGATCCATCACTTCTCTCTTGAGGCTTTCTCTGTCGAAGTCGGCAAAGCTGTTAAAGTTTCCTAGCCGATCTTTTACCTTTACTTTTCCCATCGCCTCTTTCTCTTTTCTTTCTGTCGTTCGCTTTTCAGCTTCTCCTAGGGTCTCAAATTCTTCTGCCATTCGTCGCTTCTTTCGCTTGTTTAGGGATTCCCCGTTGCTAAATGTGACCTGTAAGTCCCTGCCTTTTCTCATCTTCACTCTCCTTATCTGGTCTCTCACTTCTTGCACTATCTTTCTTCTCTTGATTTGTTCCTCCTGGGCACTTGGAGCCAAGTCTGGAACATCTTCCAGAGGGTGAGTATACTGCTTCCTGTAGATATTGAATAGATTAACTTTATTGCTCGACATTGATACATGGTACAATGTGCTTTTCATTCTCAATTTTTATAATGTCACAAGTTTGAATAGTCCTGCTATGGAACACAGCAGACTTATACTTTCCTCATTACTTCCATGAAAAATGGAGCAATTGTTGCCTCCATGAAAGATGGAGGTATTGTTTTTGGCCTGTCTGTGTGAATGTGTGTGTCTATTTGGTATGCTGATAAGGCTTAGGAAGACAAAGGTCTGGTGGCTGACCTTGGTACTGCAGCAGAACTTCCGGTTTTTGTATCTTTTGTCCTGAATGTGCTATGGTCTTGACATTTTGGTCACAAATAGCTTTTCCTGTCAGGAATAATTGGTGTGTGTTTGATCCCCCTAGCAGCTTTTTTTCGAACTGCAGGGGACTTTCTGGCAAAATTTTCTAAAGCCAATATTAGTACAGATAGAAACAACATATTTTATCATTTTTGGTGTGTAGGTAGCTGAGAGAGTTGTACCTAATTAAATGCTCTTTATGCAAATGACTTGATTTGCATAATTAAGGAGTAAATTCTATAATTACAGAGTTTTATAAAATAGTTCTTGTGTACATGTAATCTATTTAATCTGTGGCAGGTGGAACGTCAACAGATACTAAAATGATGACCTAATTTGCATAATTAATGTGAAAATTTTGTGACTCCTTATTGGTGAATGATGGGAATTTTTATACCTTGTGACATGTGTAAGTTACTTAAAGGTTAACCCCACTATGCATATATTATGTTAATGTAGAGGTCATTTGCATAATTAACGAGGACATTGAAATGAGGAATGGCAGAGTAACTTTACACTAAGAATATTGTCATTTGAATTTAGAAAGCCATAAATTAAACTAAATTATGCTAATTACGACCTTATTTCCATAGTCAATGAGATGACAGAGACCCAATCAAAGGCAAGTAGAATTTTGATTCACAGGATTTTAATCCTCGCCAAGAAGGTTACATGTATGTTGTCCATGGCGTATGTATGTGTGTATGTTATTATGTATGTGGAATTAGCACAATAACTCAAGTCTGGCATTTGCAACAGTACTGCTGCAGAAAGTTTTTATGCATTTGGTGATTTTATGTGTTCAGCATAACTCGAGAATCTTAATGATATTTGGAGGTGAATAGAGGTTATGCAATCCAGTTCAAGTTCGAAAATGATTATCTATTATGTTGCTATGTAGCTGCAGAGACGTGTCTTTTTTTGTGTGTTTTTAACTGGAGAAGCTGTGGATGGTTGTTAATGATGACTAGTAGATGGTTAGGGGCAGTAAAAATTAAGGCCCCCTAGCAGCTTATCCTGGTACTGCAATCAAAATTATTACCTCCATGAAAAATGGAGGTATTGTTTTTGGCGTGTCTGTCTGTCTGTGTGTGTCTGTGTGTGTGTTTGTGTTTCCGCACATTTGTAGCCAGCATAACTTTTGAACCTTTGGATGGATTGTAATGATATTTGGTATGTGGATAGGTGTTGGGTAGCCAAAGGTCAAGGTCAATTTTGGGCCTCCTGGTGACTGACCTTGGTACTGCAGCACAACTTCTGTTTTTTTGTATCTTTTGACCTGGACATGCTATGGTCTTGATTTTTGAGTAATGGATAGCTTTTCCTGCTAATAATAAGTGGTGTGGGTTTGGTCCCCCTAGCAGCTTGTTCTGGAACTGCAGGGGGGGTTCTATTGAAACATTTCAGAGCAGATAAATTCACAAAGGAATAATGTATTTTATGATTTTTGGTATGTGGGTAGCTTGTAGATCTACATTACTGGATGCAAATTATGCCTAATGATGACTTAATTTCATGGATGACATCCACTGCTGGGTGTCGTGATGCCCCTACGACATCTGAGGTCACAGCCAGGACGAGAGTGAGTGAGTGAGTGAGTGAGTGAGTGAGTGAGTGAGTGAGTGAGTGAGTGAGTGAGTGAGTGACATCCACGTGCGCATTAATTTTAGCATGTAGTTAAAAAAAAGATCACGTCCTCCGAGGCGCTGGCCTGGCTCTAGGCTTGTGTAGTCCATGGTAGCTAGCGACAATATTATACGGAGCCGGTGGTAAATATGGAGGATGACACCCAGGCTGCCAAAGCTCCACAACTAAAGACATCTTATTCAGTACATACATGCAGTGCCGATTCATATATTCCGCAAAAAGCCCACATGTGCCGGCTTGTAGTGTAGGTCGCTATGTACTGCCACAAATTCACAATACCAGCTTTGTATTTCTGCGGTTTAGTAGCATTTTTATTTTTGGCCGGATTTTTTTTTATTCGCCCGCGCGCACTAGTTTGGGGGTCATCAGGGGATGTCATCCATAAAATTAAGTCACTGTGGCCTTACCTACATAAAAATGTAGGTATTGTTTTGTCTTCCTGTCAGAGTTTGTGTGTGTGTTTTCGTGTTTTCTTATCGAGTTTAAACTTTGTAACTATAGATTCTACCAGGGCAGATAAAGGTTTTTATCCAACGAAATATCAAATATTTGTAATTTGAGTGGTGAAAACCATAAATAAGATAGATTATTTTGCATGTAATAATCACATTTCCATAATGAATGAGGCAAAAAATATTCAAAACATATTTGATATTGGCATGAGGTCTCTGAATTTTTGTTTTCAGCTGAGATGTAACATTGAATACCAAGTCTTGAGCTACAACACACAGATAAGTATTGTCTTCTATAAAAAAAATGACATGAAAGAAAGTGATTAATCCTCAAGTAACATTTTAGCACAGTGTTCATCAAAGATATAACGAACAGAATCCAAAATAATAAGGGAAAATCCATTTTATTCCCTTTTTTTCGACTTCAGAATTAGAAAATGAAGTTCCTAATTTAGCTAAATCGCAGTGATTTTGGCTGGTTATTAGGGAATCCCAGAAACTTATATCTAGATATTCAGGACATATTGAGTCAAATGACTCACACAGAGTTTTGATTATTCAGCCAAGTAGGGTGGAGATCCGGAATTGGAAGGCAAAGATACATGGACTTTGAGTCAGATGACTCAAGACAGGGAGCTCTTGAGTCAGATGACTCAAGACAGAGAGCTCTTGAGTCAGATGACTCAAGACAGGGAGCTCTTGAGTCAGATGACTCAAGACAGAGAGCTTTGAGTCAGACGACTCAAGACAGGGAGCTTTGAGTCAGATGACTCAAGACAGGGAGCTTTGAGTCAGATGACTCAAGACAGGGAGCTTTTGAGTCATCTGACTCAAGACAGGGAGCTTTGAGTCAGATGACTCAAGACAGGGAGCTTTGAGTCAGATGACTCAAGACAGGGAGCTTTTGAGTCAGATGACTCAAGACAGTAAACTTTGAGTCAGATGACTCAAGACAGTAAACTATGAGTCAGATGACTCAAGACAGTAAACTTTGAGTCAGATGACCCAAGTCACACACGAGGGAAGTTCCCTCGCATGGTGTTTATGCACAAAGTCCGTCACTAGCGGCGTCCCTTGCCAAGTGACACACGAGGGAAGTTCCCTCACATTGTCTTCATGCACGAAGTCCGTCACTAACGGTGTGCCTTGCCAAGTCGCACACGAGGGAAGTTCCCTCTCGACACGAACGGTGCTTATTGCGTGATGTCCGACTGAGGGAAGTTCCCGCTACCAGGCCGACACGAACGGTGTTCTTGCGTTAAGTCCGTCACTACCGGTGTTCCTTGCCAAGTCACATAAGAGGGAAGTTCCCTCGACGTCGACTAGGCCGACACCAGCGGTGTTCCAGCGCGAAGTCTGTGCAGGCCGACTAAGGCCGACACGCGCGTACTGTCAAGTCCGCCTAGAGGGAACTTCCCTCGCCGAGTCCACCAGGAAGGGAACTTTGTCGCGATGTCAAACATGCCGACACAAGTGGTGTATGTGACGATCTCGTCAGGCAGAAAGGCCGCGAGGAAGGGAACTTTGTCGCGATGCCTTGCACGAGAGAAGTTCAACACGAGAAGAATTCTGCTGCCAAGTTCAACACAAAGGGAAGTTTATGAAAAGTCTGCCACGTTGGGCCTTTTCCCCAGACCAGAGGAGCCATCTTTGGTGAAGGACAAGGTGAGCTATGTTATACCATTCAGTTATGTGACGCACACACTGAGCGTTTGACTGCTGTACAAATATTATATGTCATCATACCACAATAAAGTTACTGTTTTAACACTGAACACTGTACATTACTGAGGTCCAAGCCCCTAACAACGCCTTTAAAATGGATACAACGATTACCTTCAACTCTTACATGGCTATGGCAAGATACAGTATAAGATATAGAAACCAGGCATAGGTATTTCAACATGTCAATAAACTCCAGACAGATTATTTCAATTTGTCACATGTTTACAATGTTTACAACAAAGCGTCATGACATGTTAGCTGTAATTTTTACATCTGGTATAGGTAGAATAGGTATTCGAACATGTCTACTGAATAACACAATACGAAGACTACTCAATACATCTGTGGTCAATATTAAATGTATGAAACTTCAACTTAACAATAGCGTGGTGCAGTTTAAATCTAGATACGACCTCGCCCTCGTCCACCTGCACGGGCACCGCATGAGCGACGTCCACGGCCTCTGTTCCCACCTCGCTTCCTCTTCTTACCCACTGTCTATCTCTGGACGAAAAACTAGTGAAAATTGCATCATATGATTAGTAACAACTAAGAAGCATGACGTCTAAATTTCATCAAATAAAATTTATAACATTCCTTCCAAAAATTCCTCTCCCTCTCCTTTTTTATCTGACACAGTCTACCTAATCTCCAAGCAGATCCTAGGGTCGGTTAAAAAAGAGTATCAAATTGGCCAGGCAGTATCCAATGAGCCAGAGAGGGTCCATG